GTGGAAATATGTCATTGTGGCTGGCAGTTATACAAAAGTCTGGGGGAACAAAGAAGGGTTATGCAATTTTAATTGTAGGGAGGCTCCTTTTGCTAGATCTTATGCACGTGTGCGTGTTCACCTTTTGGATCAACAATTTGGGCACAGGTCCAAAGGAATCTCAACATGCTCTAAGCTATCAAAAGAAATGAAGATGGCTTTGAAACATGAGGAAGATGAAGCTCAAAGGATGTAAGGGAGTAGGCCACATACTGATGCTATGAAAATAGACAAATCCTTGTTCCCATCACTATTACAATCAACTAGTGCGGATAGAAAAGGGAAAGGACAGACTCAGGCCAAAATTCTGCAATTATTTAATATGCAAGCCAGGGATGATGCGGATGCTGCAGCTGCAAGGTTCTTTTATTCCCACGGCATCGCTTTTAACATTGCAAGGGGCCCTAGGTTTCACGAAATGGTATACGCCATAAATAATGCACCGAAGTGGCTATATGGCCCCCAAATATGAAGCTCAGGACAACTCTACTTGATAAAGAGAGAAGTAGAATACATCAATCATTAGGCCAAATAAGGAATGAGTGGGCTGCTTATGGTGTGTCTGTTGTTTCAGATGGTTGGAGCAATGTGAAGAATCAGTCTTTGATCAATATCATAGACGTGTCAAGTGGAAAGGCTATGTTTGTGAATGGTCTTGACTACTCTAGTGTTGAGCATTCGAGCCAATATATTGCAGATATTCTCTTAAAGGCTATAGACACTATTGGACCGTATAATGTGGTTCAGATTGTCACTGACAATGCCGCCAATTACAAGGGTGTTGGGGCTTTAATTCAGAGCCGACATCCTCACATTTTTTGGTCGGGTTGTTTAGCGCACACCTTGAGTCTTCTAATGAAGGATGTTGTTGACAAGAAAAAGAAAAATCCTAGTTTTGCTTTTGTTAGGAACCATTGCAAACTGGCCAAAAAGGTGATGATGTACATCAAAAATCATACAAGATGTCTCCACATTTTTAGGACTTATTCGAGCATCGAGCTTTTAAAAGCAAAAGAAACTAGGTTTGGATACCATTACATTATGTTGAGGCGTTTGAAGGAAGTGCGAGTCACATTGGCATCCTTGGTGTTGGGGGATGAGTGGGAGAGTCTTAGACGTGGGGCAGGCAACACTGAACAGGCGAGGTCCAAGTTGTTATGGACGACGAATTTTGGAAAACAAATAAAATGATATTAAGGTTCACTAGACCAATATGGAAGACGTTGATATTTGCAAACAGTGACGAAGTTGTTGTGGGAGATACATATGAGCGTATGGATACAATGTTAGGAGCAATTGCAGTGGCTCTATATGATGATCACACACTGTTTCAAAGAGTGAAGACGTTAGTCGTTAATTGTTGGGACTGGTCCAATCTTCCTTTCCATTGTTTGGCATTCCTCCTCAGTCCGAAGTATTACTCATGTGAATGGTTTGGCTATGCCTACACCGGGGGGAGATAAGAGGGTGAAGCCCCATCAAAATCCAGAAGTGTCTACTTGTTACCATGTTGCTCTTAACGTGTTAATTGCAGACGAGGTCGAACGGGGTAGAGTGCGGCAGCAAATCAATGATTTCGTGGGAAATAGAGGGGTTGTTTTCCCTGGCACCATCCATCAGTGATCGGGCCACTATGCCTGCTGTAGCATGGTGGGACTTGTATGGTGGTGGAGCTCCTGAGTTGTATTCAATTACAGTGAAGGTATTATCACAAAGTGTTAATTCTTCATGTGCCAAGAGATGCTAGAGCACATACAGCTACATCCATAACATTAAACGAAATCAACTTAATGCTAACAGATCAGAGTTATTGGTATACATGCATTACAATAACAGGTTATTGAGTAGATTACGGGTAGAATTATGAAGAGCGATACAAGAATTGGGATGCACATCCAGAAGACGATCACCTAGAGGATGACATAGAGGCATTGGAACAGATGGATGCGTACCTCGATGCCGATGACACACATTTAGCTGCCATAGTACCACCTCAAGGTCCTACCACTAGCCCATCTACTTCAACAAAGGTTGATGATTTGGCATGCATTCCCGCCTCTGAGCATCAACCCAGTCAGCCCTTGCCTACCCCAGCAGAAGGAGAGGTTGCATTGTCTTCAGTGATGTCACAAAACCTCAAAGCCGCCCGAAGGAACAAGAAGAGAAAAAATAGACTCTCTCTCTCTCTCTCTCTCTCTCTCTCTCTCTCTCTTTGATGATATAATATATAACTTTTGATGAATTCATAGATTCTCTTTCCCCTCATCCTTTTCCTCCTCTTCTTTGGCCTTTTGGATGATATAATGTATATGAATATTTGTTGGATGAATGCATAAATTCCCTCTTTCCCCTCATCCTTCTCCTCCAATATAAATTCACCGTTACCCCATGCACATGACTATTCGTTAGGAACATGCAAACCCAGTCGAGGACATTGATGAGTTATAATAGTGTTTTTTGAAATAAAAAAATAATATTTTTCTTAAAATTAAATTTTCTCAAATTTTACTTAACACTAAGAAGTTTTTATTTGTAATGGGTTACATTTCGTCTCCCTCATTAAATGTGTTCAAACTAAACTTCAATAGTTTTAATATTTCTAAAAGTTGCATCTTGTTTCCCATGTTAAATGCGTTCAATCTTTACTTCAAGTCTTGAACTAAATAATATAACATTGAAAGTAATGTGAGAATAGGAACTTCAATTCTTGAACTAAATACTATAAGCGAGAATAGGAACTTCAAGTCTTCAACTAAATAATATAACATGAAAGTAATGTAAGAATAGGAACTTCAAGTGTTCAACTAAATAACATAACATGAAAGTAATGTAAGAATAGGAACTTCAAGTGTTCAACTAAATAATATAACATGAAAGTAATGTGAGAATAGGAACTTCAATTTTTGAAATAAATAATATAACATGAAAGTAATACGAGAATAGGAACTTCAACTAAATAATATAATATTAAAGTAATGTGAGAATAGGAACTTCAAGTGTTCAACTAAATAATATATAACATGAAAGTAATGTGAGCATAGGGAGAACAGAACCCTCCGATATGTGCTCAATCATTAGTGAGCGCGACATGTATGAGAGCGTGAGAGAATTTGAAGTTGTTGCACACGGCAATAAAATCAAATTTTAAAATATAGGTAATATGTTAAATTTTTAATTTTCTTATTTACTAATTTCCATCCTTCATTCCATGTTACTTTTTAAGAACTCTTACCAAAAATAAATAATACTAAAAAATTTTTACTTCAAATTTAATAATATTTGGTAAATGGTGTGGGTACTAAACTACTTATATAATAATGTTTAATATATGATCGACACCATCAGTTCTTCAAGTTGAATAAGAGGATAAAAATGCTTTTTTTTAAGTAGAATAAGAAGAAAATAAGGATATGAGCGAAGTGCCTTGTGTGGTGTTTTAGGTTAAATTAATCATTAAATATCAGAGGAATTGACTAAAAATTGAATAACTCAACTTTCAAAAGTCAAAAGACTCAAAACTACATTTAACATTGAAGAATTATTCCTTATATGCCCTAGACTAGCTTATATATTTACTACATTTAACATAGAAGAATTACTTATTTTATAATTCAAAGAAATGAGATAAAGGGAGCTCGCCCTTGTTTTCACTCCTTGTATGTCGTAGACTAGCTCCAGACCTTGTAGGCATAATAGGGTTATCGGTAGAACGAGTCCATTGTATGGGATTGTCCACAAAGATATCATAAAGGTTAAGATTAGTACTTGGAGTCTTGGACTGAGTATATACACTAAATTTGATCTCGTAGTAATGGGTAAATTTATATATTTTCTTAATACCTCTCTCATATACCGGAGGGAATTGGTTCGTAATTCTAGTAAGGGGAGAATCTCGATTCTAATATGGGGAGAATCATGATTCCGGAATGGCGAGAATATTGATTCCAAATTGATGGGAACAACAATTCTAGAATTTTAGGAATCACGACTCCTTATGTTTAGGAATCACAATTCCATATTTTTAAGAATCACGATTCCAATCTAATCGAATCACGACTCCAGCAACCACTGAAACAAGTGGGGTCATGTGTGATTCCATATAGGTATGAAACGCAATTCCAACACAAAGGGACATCGATTCTTGTAAATAGGAAACACGATTCTTAATTTTTTGAATCGCGTTTCCGAAATAGTGAGAATCACTTTTCTCAAATCCGAATCGTACAGACAGCGATTCCTAGATTTCGAAACTTCTGATACACACGATTCTAATTCCATAAACGATTCGGAATCACGGACGTTTCCAACAACTATAGCGTGTCCTATAAGCCCCTCCTGGTTTGCTCAAGTTTAACTTTTATATTTGGGGGTATTTTTAGCCCTTCCCTTTTTGTACAGGCCCACTGCCAGGTGGCCATTTTTGGCTCGGAGACCCAGTCTGTGGGTACTCTCGACTCTTACTGAGGTACCCATCTCATTTAATACAAATTGTTAACCTTCTCAATAAAAAAACAAACCTGCTACTGTCTACAAGCAAGATACTAATGCTATATAAATATTTAATGCAAATATCTTCACGAAAGAACCATTTTACCCATTTCAAGGATCTAAAAAACATAATAAGTACCTAATTTTCATGGATACTCAAAACCAGAAATCTGTTCATAACCCAACTGTATCTCAAGACGTCATAAGAAGACTTATAAGACAAATTAAAGACAAAATATGCTATTTCATTCTTGGTAAATAATTTCACAAGAACAACTACTAAAAAATGGAATGCACAACCAAATTACGAACAGATACCTACACCTCATTTATACACAATGGGGCCACTTAAAAATGCACATTTATGGAACCAGCAATCTATTCAAAGCTTGCTAATCAAGGCTATTTCGAAGCATTTCATTTTCAACATAAACCATGGAAAAAAATATGTACATTAGAAGAAGATTTATTACCAGTGCCCCGTATTAAAAACTAGAACATCATAAAAGTCGGTGACGCCAATCCAATCATCCGCAGGTATATCAACATCGACTTTGTAAATCCCCTTCAGTTGATTTTCCTCCAAAGAATTTAAAGGCTGCCATCTTTATTCAATAATTGTAAGCATGTTTTTTTGAAATGAAATGCATGATAATGTATGTACGCCTGCATTTATGTAATAAATAGTGGTCAAAATAATAAACATATTGGTATGCCTTTTGCATAAATAATGGTATATCAAGCACCGATTCCAAGATCTACGAAAATATTATCCAAGATTCCGCATGGGAAAGTGTATTGTCAAACGGGTGATTTCTCACACTACCCAACCCATATGGAACCAAGCCCAAGTCCTGCCCCGACTAAGGCCAGACCAACCTTCCACAGTCCACATAAGGGGAAAGAGCAAAAACACATACACAAGGGAGTAAATGGGTTGTGGCCTAGTTTTGTTACTACACTGTACAATTACAAAGGAGTATACAATCACATATGCCTTCTCAAGGGTCTGAGCATGTGGCTTATATAGACCCCTTTACAACATTTGAATTTCAAATATACAAGGGACTTAGTAGCCAGCCTCTGCCCTGACCTATCACATCGACACCCCATAACAGCATGATGGGCAAGGAAACCGCTACCCACCTTTCCTAGGTCCCTACAATCCCTTGCATGTCGTACCACCCATGCCTTCTTACCAAGTCAGCATGGGTGGTGCATGCCACCTCACACAGCCATCATAAGCTAGCCAAAATTTGAATCCGAACTAGGCCACTTACCTAGCTCAAGCGCATTATGGAGCCCATGGTCCCGCTGTGCGCTAGTCTTGCAATGGGCCCGAGCCCCTCCATGCCATGCACCCTAATCACTGCCCATCACCCATGGCCAATCACAATGGCTTTAAGGCATACTTGCCCACCACATGTGCACTCCTCTCACATGGCTCATGGCCATTACACCAGCCCATATTTAGGGTGTAGGGTTTGTGTTGAGTTTTATGGCCTTTTAAAGGCCTAGAGAGCTTGTAAAAATGATATTTTTAATGAAATATGCACTTCAGTGGGAGTGTGTGTGTTGACTGACCATGAGTTGGGCAGTTCATTGTCCTAGTTATGTCTAAAACCCTTACCACTGGGTATGTGATACTACAAAGAAGGATTTACAGTGGGTCATCCCTTGTTGAAGTCGAAGAGATGCCCAAGGATCATATCTGTAGGCCAAGAGAATTGTGCGAAGTCATGTGTACGGTTGTATGCCTGTGAAAGCAAGGGCGAAAGCCTCAACAAACTTTCGCATGGCATGTACACATGACAGTAGCATTACTAGAAGCAGCCCTATAGGGGGACACGTATACATGTGCATGGAGACAGCCCCCTTTACACTATAGTGACAAGTGTTGAACTCGCTCTTAAAAGGGGAGACTGAAATCCACATCTCAAAATCATAGTTCCACTGTTTATTGGCCAACTTTGACAAGCAAATCATGAGCCCCTAGATTGAGACTGTGGGTCACGGGTCATTGTTGGGTTGGATGAGAAAACAGTAGTAGTTCATAGTTCTTGGGTCAAGTGAAGTGCCCTTATTGTCACTAATTTTGACCTATTGGTACCAATCCACTTCTAAATATTTTATTTTTGGCATTAGAAATGTTTTTGTGATTTATACAAATTTTCAGAATTTTCAAAATTTATTTCAACTGTAAAATCATCAAAAAGGGTATTTTCGAAATTTTCAAAACAAGAAGGCCACATGTGGGGACCTAGGATCCATTCCCCCATGTGAGTACCACCCATGAGTGGGACGTGTGGCCTTGTAGGCGCCATATAAAGTCCATAGGGTGACACGCCCACTTATTTTGTTTAATATGCTAGTTAAAAGTTTATTTAGTTAGGAAATCTTTTAAAATTAAATAGATTTGTTCCCTATTCAAGTGGGAGTTTTGTTTTCGACAAAAATAAAAAGAATTATCTTTGATTTCCTATAGTTTTGGAAGATCTAGATAATACTAAGTGGTTATAATTCAAATTTAAATAGAAGTTCAAATTATAAAGAGATAAGGCTCCTAATTTTCACCCAAAATCATGATGTCTGATTTGTGGGATGAATGGCTCAAATTTAATCTCTCTCACCCCACAGATTACCTAATATCCTAATGGTCAAGCTGACTAAATTCGATAAGGCATGCCTAGAAGGAATGGTGTTTATTTATTTTAGTAGTAAACGTAAAGGTCTTAGATTGTATTTAGGGTTTTAATTTTGATTTACAGCAGTGCAAAGTGGCCCATATAAGTGGAATTTAGGTATATTGAATAAAAGAAAAGGAAAAAGCTTTGAATTTACTACATAGAGTTCCACATAGCCACAACTTTCATGGGGGCAATTATACAAATAAATACCAATTCATGACCATCACAGTGTATAAACCCACCCAGCCAGGTGTACAGTCGGCCTGCCGTTTACACATGGTTCACACTCATCACCAATCAGGTCACATTATCCATGGTGGAGCCAACCAAGCCTCTTCTTGGGTTAGACTGAGCCATCCATTGCAGCAGCTTGCCCAAGGACTCCCACTATGGGTCTTTAGCCACAAGCCCACATGTGCGTGCACCATGCACTAATGCCACACCTTCCTCACCTCTCACTCGATCAAGACTAAGGGGGCCTCACCACGCTCATATAGGTTTGTAGGCCTGACGAGATGGCCTGCTAGGAGAGATAGCCAACATCACCAAAGTAACACGAGTTCCCTTAGGACTTGTGGGTCCTTTGCATCGTCCCTAAGGGGACGACTTGCCCAACTTAGCCTACTTGCATGACACCAAAGAAATGGGTCTAACAAGCCTCACCCACCTGAACTCTGAAGTCCTTGTTTGATGTTGGCTTAACACCACCCATAAACTACGGTTTTGGCCCAAAGCTCATGCTTGCTTGGACCAAGCCTCTTCTAGTCTTCGCACTTGATCGGGTCCGATGCTGCCACCAAATCTATACTTGTTCACTTGGCTTGGTGCATTTTTATCACCGAGTCTCTACTCATCACACAAGGTCAGGTTCTTGAGCTGCCAGCATGTGTTTGGGTGTGTGGCCAGGTTTATTGTTGCTACCACGACACAGGCTGCCACCTACAGCTCTCAAGAGGAAGGCCTTATAGCAGCCTTATCACAGGTCGAGATGTCAAGCAATACTTGCAGTACTCACGCCAGTTAAATCGCCTCTTGTTTTCCCCACTAAGGCTAGGTGGATGCCTATGCACATCGCACCTCCCACTAGTCGAGGATGTCCCACCCATTGTGGAGTCAAATGACTCTGACCACTGGACCACTTTGACCATCGATGGTCTCCGTATGGTGACCTGCCTAAGTCACCACTTGACTCCTCAAATCGGTCACCTCAACTACAATTTGTGACTTCCCCCAAGTCTATGCACCAGTTCATACCAACTACACTGCCTTCATTGAGCGCAATAAGTAAGCCCATGTTGTGGCCTCCTAATACTCCACTAGTCGAACAATGCTAAGGGGCTGCTTTTGCAAGAACTCCCTCGCTCAATGGTCACCCTTGTAAATAAAACAGCCTAAGAAGGCCTTTTCAGGTGCCTCTCTATCATGGTCGTCCCCTTCTCAGGTCCAGTGCTTGGCGGTACACCACTCTCTCACCATTTACCCTCGACAGTCGATCCTCATACTTTGACTCCACAACATCACGAAGATCGTAATCTGCTAGGCCCTCCATTGCCGCCGTAGCAATGCGCAAGTCTTGCATGCCTCACCTCCTTAACTCAGCCTGGGCCCAACCTTGCAGCTTTCGTCCCACATGAGGAATGCAAACCTCTTCACATAGTCCCTCACCGAACCTATCTGCGAAAGATTTCTCAAAGCCTCTTGAGCCACCCATGCTGCATTTCTTGGCAAAGGCTGATCCTTCAATTCCTGTTTCTAGACCTCCTCAGTGCTCACCTTGGGCCTTGACAAGTCCTTGGCCCACATTCTCCACCAAAGCTTTGCATTTTTTATGAGGTACATGGTTCAAAATGCCAAAACAATCCTCCTCACAGGTATGAGCATTCTCAAAGTATTGCTCCACGAACCATAAAAAGATATCCAACATTTGGGATTCTCCCTGGCCTTCGAACACCCTCAGCTCTAAGCCTATAACACCCTCACTCTCTGTGTGTCTAGCCCACATGTGGTGGCAATCAAAGCCTTCTTGATAAGTGTCATGTCTTCATGCAGGCTCGCAAGGTTGGCCTTGAAGGGTTCCGTGAAGGCCTTGAGGTTGTCCATGAGGATCCCATATAAGCATCACAGACACCACAATGGTCATCCATTTGGTCTACAAAGCACCAATCTAGGCTTCCAAGAGCAAGCCTGTACCCCAACCCACCATCCTGGAGCCCTTTGGGTGAGTTGCTCCAATTGTTCCTCGAGGTGGTTGACATAATCTCGAATTTCAGCAATACCACCAGCCATGATCCTACTAACTAACCAACCTTCGGCTCTGATGCCAACTGTCATGGGGGTGGCTTCTCACACCACCCAACCCATGTAGTGCCATGCCCAAGTCGTGCCCTAAGGCCAGGCCAACCTTCCACAAGTCACACAAGATGAAAGAGCAAACACACACATAAGGGAGTAAAAGGGCCATGGGCTGAATTTTATTACTGATTTGTACAATTATAAAGGAGAATACAGCCATAGATGGCCCCCTAAAGGGTCTGGGCCTGGGGTTTATATAGTACCTAGTCGTAACATTTGAATTTCAAAAACACATGGGACACTTGTTAGCCAGCCTCCAACAGTCTGCCCCGATCTGCCAAGTGACTGCTCAGCACACCCACGTCCCTGGTGGCATCATGATGGGCAAGAGGAGTGTTGCCCACATTTCCGACGCCCTTGCAACCCCTTGCATGCCATATCACCCATGCCTTCTGACCAAGCTCGCCTGGGTGGTGCACGCTACCTAACACTGCAATCATGATCCTGCCAAAATTCAAATTCGAACTGGGCTGCCTGTCCAGCTCAAGCGCATCGTGAAGCCCACGGTCCAGCTGTGTGCTGCCTGCTAGTAGGGACTGACCCTACCACACCACGCACCCCAATCATTCCCACCCCCATGGTCTGGCACTTACAACGGCTTTAAGTCCTACTTGCCAACTACATGTGCAATCCCTCTCTCCATAGCTCATGGGTTACACAATCCCATGTCTAGGGCAGTTACAAAAATACCAACTCATGACTGTTACTGTCTATAAACCTACCCAGCCAGGTATAATGCCAAGCCCCCTCTTGCACATGGTTAACAGCCATGTCCCTCTTGGCCACACTCTCCATGATCGAGCCCACCAAGCCTCTCCCTAAGTTAGCCTTAGCCATCCGCACTATCTTTCCCAAGGACTACCACTAAGGGTCTTTAGCCAGAAGCCCACCTGTGCATGCACCATTCACCATTGCCACACCTCCTTGACCTCTCACTTCGTCAAAATTGAGGGCGTCTCAACTCCCTCATATAGGTTTGTAGGCCTAAAGAACTGGCCTGCCAAGAGAGAGAGCTAACTCCACCAAAGAAGCACAAGTCCCCTTAGGACTTGCGGGTCCTTTGAACCACGCTAAGGGGAACCACAGGCCTCACTTAGTCTACCCGCAAGATGCCAAGGAAAGGGGTGCAACATATATGCAGCTGGGAAACATCATCTGTTCTCAAGAAGGGCGATGGAGATCATGATGATTTCCAGGCCTAATGTCTGCCTTTAGAACTACAGTTCATCATGGATGTCCAGGATACGCAGTATACATTACAGAAAGGATTGTTTATGCCATTATTTTTGATATTTTTACTCATTCTAAAACCAGATAATTCAATCTTCATCGGATATATAATGAACATTATAACATGAAACATTTGAAAAATATATGGATAATGCAACAATCTGATTCTTAATGCATATTGTATGATAAAAAAATTGGCACATTATAAGGCATTACTTATAATTTAATTCATTGATTACATAAACTTGCAAAGCAATGTGCGATAATAATAACGACTCAACCAGCACCAACTATCCGTTTATGTTACTCATAAAACATTATTAGTTTCCACTCTCCACAACGTCAAGAGCAAAACAGGTCGGATTTACTCTTAGCAATCAACTCAAAGACAATTAGCCTAGAGAGGCAATTAACGCTCAGTTTTAGTTTTTCATAATTTATTTTTAGCCAAGTTGCCAGAAAACCAAGGAGCAAGCACAATCGTCCCTTTGTATAATTAGGAATATAATGACGCACGCAACTATTAGATATCGAGCTAGAGTCCAAATATGCATCCTCTTATCATCACCAAACAAAAAATAAAAATTGATTGAGAACAACAACAGTTATTGGTCCAATAAGCTAGAAGACAAACCCAACAAGAGAGAACAAGATATTTAGGGAAGAAGTAATCTCTTAGCCAGTGTGGTCTCTAAAGAAGACTAGCGAACAAAGGATCTGATAATTACATATAAATAGATACATATAAATAGATGGAAAGGATCTGGATGTCTCACTAAAGTCAGATTTGTTTTTCCTGCAGTTTTGTGGGATGATGCTATGGTATTCTTGTATAGTCGCGATACCTGGACATCATCTAATCAGCGATCTTTTGAGATTCCACAAAGTTAGAATCTAAGGGAACAAAATCAAAATGAATTTATTTCAGTATTAAATTTTTTACAATATTCAAAGAAGAAAAATCAAAATCGTTTGTGCTTGGCAAGCCAGCATATGCTTATATGCTCCAAAGGCCATATATTCTCACAAGTTGCCTAAACAAAGTCATCATTGATACATGGATCATGCTAAACCACTGTCAGATTTCACACAATTACAAATTGCCATGCGTACCCAATACCATTATCATATTCCTGGTCAGTGTTAATTTCAAATTTTAGAATTTGCAACTCCAGGAAATATCAGGCACCCAAATCGCATACATTAAACAACTGAACTATGGTTAAGAAGATCACAGGCCATGAAATATAATAGTAGTTTTTTCCAGATATCCATCACACATTTCTATTGAAAAGAAATTTCAGAGATGACCCACAAATCTGCTTTTTTTTTCTGTTGTATTTTTTTGGGTGGGGTGGGGTTTGGGGGGTAAGAACCGTGTGACCCAAGTATATAATTATACTTCATTTTTGTAGGTCAAACGAAAAATTCGAAATTAAAATGCATACCAATAGCCAAGAGAAAATGTTAGGTATCCTTTGTTAAAAAGTAGCTTAGTGAGAGGAATTTGAAATCGAAAAATGATAACTTACTGGTACTTAGCGAGAAGAACAGCACGATGGTACGCAACAGTCGCATTAAATTTTGGGAAATAACCACCTCTCCAAGCCCCATTCCTCTTCCATTTCCTCGCTGTTTCATCCGCAATTCTAAGAATGCAGAGGAAAGAAACCAAAAAGTTCTCATTCAGAGAATCACCTACAAAACCAATTCTCTTGTTCCTCATTAAACCCAAAAAACCAAATGGATCAATCGTTGGCAAAGCACATGAATCAGGAACCCATCTCCATGAATTGATCTTCTCCATGTTCTCTCTCTTGTTCTTCAAGCAATTCCATGCGTTTCTATGAAATGGGCATTCCTCTCCATAAAAGGGTTTCTTTTGGGGATCTTCTATCCATTTCCCATTGAAATATGGAAGGTTATCAGTTTCTTGAGAGGCTCTGCAACTTCCACGGCTGGTTCTTGGCGTAAGTGGTTCAAGCGATGGGGGTGTGTAGAAAGGAAGGACATTGGTGTAGAGATAGAGAAAAAAGCAGGTGATTAAGAGAAGTGAAAGAAAAGTGAAGTAAGGAAGGGAGTGAAGAAGTGGGCGTTTAGTGAGAGAAGGAAAGGGACCGAGATTCATGGTAGTTCATTGCATCAGAGACAGAGAAAGAGATGAAGGGAGGGAGGGAAGCACGATCTGCCTCCACGTTAGATGCACCATAGCTACTAGTAGCACTCCTCACCGAATCAATTCATCGAGTCTCAAGGGAATTCTGTCGCTTTCTTGATCCACCTAATAATCATCACCCTCGATCACCACTGGCTGGGAAAAAAGAAGTTATTGTAAGAAGTTATAGAGGTTTCTGTGTTTGATAACCTGGAATGTTAAAAAAGTTCTAAATACTATTGTTCCATAACATGCTGGAAGATTAGCAAGTGATAGTGAAAATTGCAAAATGTAGAAGATTAGCAAGTGATGGTGAAAATTGTAAAATGTAGAGCACAAGTTTCCCATAACAATCATTCGACCCTAAATTGACAACAAAGAGTAAATGAACACTCCCTAAAAAATTAAAACAAGTACTTCAATAAATCTCATGCCATGAACTATCTATTCCTTCAGTTGTCAATAGCAGCTCAAATACACCAAATTTTGACAAAAAACAACCTAGAGGAAAACAGATGATATAGTTGTGATGAACATAATCACTTATACCCATCTAGCAAGAAAGAAAAAAGACAGATCTTGGACATCCACTCATCAACAAACTGAAAAAAAAAAAAAAACTACATTTTCGTCCAAAGGGCTACATTTTCATGATGAGAAGGCCTTCACAATAAAAAAAAAATCCAAATCAGATTGTGGCGATCTTTAATGTCCATCAATGCAGTAATTAGAAAGAATCCATTCACACAAATAAAAAATAGCATGTTTAGTGCATCTAGCAAGAGATTGAAAAGCAAGACTGCTTAGGCATCCATTCAAATATCCAAATAAAGACTTAACAATTTCATCTAAAAATCCACATTTTCGTAAGAAAACAATCTCATAGACATGCATTCATAAAAAAAATGTCTGAAAAAAGCAAGACCTCTTAGGCATCTATTCCTCATTAAGAAGGCGTTCTCATAGACAGTACTAAAAAAACCCAATTCAGATGGGCAAGGAGGAGAGTACAGTCTGCAGGGTTAGTGAATTTCCTTTGGAGCCCTAAAATGTTAATAAAAAAGAAAAACCACATTTCATTCACAAATTATTCTTGAAATTTAATATGTTGGTACTCACAAGGAAAAAAAAAACAGAAATATGAGAACAAAATGCATTATTTTTTACTAACAGTTCCCTGTCCTTACCATCCTAGAAGTTCAAGACTCATTCATAGCATTAAAACTCCGGAAAAGTTTATATAGGGTTGCAACCGGTCATCTCGACATCGAGATGTATGAATTTAAAAAAAGAAAGTTTTTGAGTCTAAAAAATAGTCTTCTTGCAACACATTATCTAGACCGTCCATAAACAAGATTTTTAAATGTTTATAGATCTCCTTGATTTTAACTATTTTTGGAGTTTAAAATTTTTTAATTAGATATTAAAATATATTTTAAGATAATCCTAAGATTTTTTTGCAACAAAATTACATGTTAATATAAAATTTGGAGGTGAACTTACTTGGATTGTTTAAGGTTGCAACCTTATAGAAACCGCAAATAACTCTCAAACTGGTACTCTATTTTCAGAACTCAACATAAAAAAAAAGCAGACAACAAAATAGATAGAGATAATAAAAAGAAAATCAGAGAATGCAATATACATTATTAATTTAATCTTTGAAACCCCCAAGATAAAGCACACTCCAAAACCAATGATTTCACTCTTTCCAATTTTCTTTCAAGCGGCACAAATAAATCATCAAATATTTCACTCAACCCCCTCATTCTTTATTTTCCCATTTTTTCACTTTTGGCTATAAAAATTGACCCCATCAAACTATTTTATTCCGTATCAATCTAAAATCTTCTTTAACCCTCATTCCCATGTTTTCATTTTCACTACGGTAATATCTCTCTCTACAACGGCAATGGTACTCTCTTCATTCATCATAGTAGAGTCTGCTCACTTCTTAGAGTAAGTTTCTCTTTCTCTCTCCTCTCTCTCGCTACCTTCAAAACCTCCGTTGCTCACACCGTCTGGTACTCTCTCTCTGCCTTCGAAACCGCCATTTTCTTATAGAAATCAGGATTCTTGTGTATCTAAATTTTGGACAATCCATTTTCAAAATCTAAAAATTTCAAGCACTTAAGAATTTACAGAGGAAGGAACTGATTTACAGCAGAGGCACCTGTTTATGGTCTTAGAGAGAAACACATTCTCAGAGGTTAGAGGGGAACACAATTTCAGATTTAAAGAGAAAAAAACCAATCTGCAGTTTTAGAGAGAGAAACATCGGTAAAAGATAGAGAGTGAAACTGGACAAATAGGAAGATAGAGGAGCGTGTATTACATGGTTTTTTTTGTTGTTGCTATTGGAAATAGAGAGAGAGATGCATTCATGGTTTTTACTGAAATTTTGATTTTTGTTGTTGTCGGTAAGAGAGGTGCAATTCATGGGTTTGTGTTAGTAGTGAGAGAACGATGAAATTTATGCATTGCCTTGTTTTTTTGTTAGAGGGAGAGTGCACTTCATGAGGTGTGTTGATGTATCGAAATGGAAAATGAAAACAAGGAAAAAAAAAAACAAAGGGAACATTTTCGCAATTTAAATTTTCAAGGAAAACGAGCGAAACTTAATAATAATATATTTCCTTTGTTCCCCTAAATGCAATTGTGTTGGCTTGTGGAGTCGCAGTACAAACACTCACTCACTCTCTATGACTTGAGAGATAAAGACTTATGCAAAGGTGCCTCAATTATGTGGCTTTCCCTTTTTCTGCTTCCTCCTTTTTGGCGCCATAACTTTAGGTAAGAAACATGCAAATTATTGAATTATTTATTTTTTGGATATTGTATTCATATATTATTTGAATTCTGTTTGAGCGAAGGACCTATATAATGCATGTATAATTTTCTAATCTAATTATGACGATTTTAGGGTTTTTTTGGCTCTTGTAAGGGTGATTCATTTCTAATAAAAAATAGGAATGGATGCCATCTTGTGGTCATATTAGGGCTTCTGTTGGATTCATATTGTGTGATGACTGATTTAGGGGCATGAATAGATATTTGGATTATTTTTGGAATATTTTAAGAAGCTTGTGTTGGATTGTCCAAAATTTAGATATACAAGAACCCTAATTTCTATAAGAAAATGGAGGTTTCGAATGCAGAGAGAGAGTACTTGACAGTGAGAGCAATGGAGGTTTCGAAGGCAAGGAGAAAGAGAGAGAGAGAGAAGAGAGAGAAAGAAAAACTTACGATGAGAAATGAGCAGACTCACTATGGTGAATAGAGAGAGAGCCCTTGCCGTTGTAGAGAGATATATATATTACCGTAGTGAAAATGAAAATAGGGGAAAGGAGGGTTAAAAAGGATTTTGGATTGAGACGGAATAAAATAGTTTGTTGGAGTCAGTTTTTATAGCCATAAGTGAAAAAATGGGAAAATAAGGGATAAGGGGGTTGGGTGCAATATTTGAGGGTTTATTTATGCCGCTTGAAAAAAAATTAGAAGGAGGGTCTACTGTAAAATAAAATGGAAAATTAGGGTTCAGTATGATATTTTCCCTTTGTTTTATCAGACAAAACATGAATAGTAAGAGGTAAGTTTCATTCTCTTAAACTAACTCTCGCTTATCAAATATGCCTTATCAAATATGCCTTCGTGCTTTTTTTTTAAATCAAACTAGACATAAAAAATGACTGGTAAGTTTCATCTTCTTTGAACTAACTTCTGGTTATCCTTTTGTGTTTGATAAAAAAAAGAAGGAAAGATATATTAAAAAAACTTCAGTTTACTGTAGCTCTTCCACTTTACTTTTGAAAAATGCTCCGTGTAAAAACACGGGGGAAAGGTTTCTATACTTCCCCTACAACATAGAAGATCTATGCTTCCCCTACCATCCAACCTTCCAATTTTGATCAAGAGAGGCACTCACCGTTTGATCTTTAATCCAACGTCTCAAAGCATTGTATTTTTAGTTTTTTTTTATACAAATTGTATGAATATGAAATTTGGTATGCGCCATATTCTCATTGGGGTTCACCTATAAAAAAATATTAAATATAATTTTTAGATAAACTATAATGACCAAAATACCCCTTGAAATTTTAGGGGTATTTTGGTCATTTTATTTTATTGAAAATATTTTTTTATTTTTTTCACCAGTGCGAGTTTAATAGAGGATTGGACATACAAATTTTGGTATTAAAATAGCTTGTATAAAAAAAATTAAAAATAAAATAGCATAGAGACATGACATTATAATTGGGGCAATCCTAGCCCTCCATTCAAAATGGATGATTGGATAAGGGGAAGTATATGAGTTTTATGTTGTAGGGGAAGCATAAAAACCTTGCCCAAAACACGAAACTTAAAAAAAGAACATTCGCGGGATGAAAGGAAGTCAGGGCCCAACCTTTGTCGCTTCTTTAACACCCTCACGCACTACAGTCCACACCTTCGCCTCCTCCACAACTGCTCCTCGTCATCAGGTATCCCTTTCTTTCTCTCTCTCTCTAAAAACAACACCTGGTTTCTGGTTGTGGAATCTTCAAACCTCCAGAGATCATACCCAGTGAAGTTTTATACCAACTTCAACAAATTTCAGAGTTTAATGTCTCAGGGTTCTATTTTAGATACATGTTGTACAAAGATTTTATGTTTTGGGATATTTTTCTTTTGATGTCCATTTCTAGGAAATTCCTTAATTTAGTGTTTTGGGATTTCTTCCATACTCCCAATATGAAGAAATACTAGTGTTTTGTCTTTTAGGGCTCTTCTCAAAACCTAATTTTAGGAATTTGCAAAAGGGCATATGTTGTGGCAACTAAGGGCTTCTAATATCTAGGATTACAAGAATAATAGATTTTTCATATAATTCTTATTATAGTAGAGTTACTAACAAAAATAAGAATACAAGGTTGGATTCTTTGAATTTGTGCTGGTTAGCAACTTAGTATTGTTAGCAAAAAATTGATGGAGCGCAAGACCGACTCGATATCAGATAAGAGATGCCGTGAGGTTGGTGATCGCAGAGCCCAAATTTTTATTGTTTTTTTGTAGATATCCCATTTTAAAATTGGTAAATTCTATGGTTTTCTTGAACCCATAGGACCACACTATTTCAATAGACCTCTAAACCATAGACCACCGCAATCCATGGTTCCATCCTATGATCCACACTTAGTAAATCTTCTAGTTTTAGTAGTTATCCATTCTACACCTAACAAATCCCTTGCTTTTAATAGTTATCCATTCTACACCTAGCAAATCCTCAGTTTTTAATAGTTATCAATTCCACACCTAGCAAATCCCCATTTTTAGTAGTTATCTATTCTACATCCTTATTACGTCTCTAAGAAAAATAAAACTGACGTCCCTTTTTTGGGAAGGAGGTAGGACGTGGGAGACTAGGGACACCTCTTAAAAAGGTGGGACGTGTAGGTTAGAAGGAAAGGAGCTGGGACGTGGGACGTGTAGGTTAGAAGGAAAGGAGTTGGGACATGGGAGGCTAGAAGTTAAAGAGAGAGCCCAGAGAAAGAAAAACTTAAATCTAAGAAATCCTAGTTCTAAGCTATCTTTATATAAAAAAAACCATTCAACCAGGCTGAGGCTTGGTCAACACTTGGAGAAAGAGAGACAAAGATGACACCCGTTCTGATATGGGCGAGCCCTCGAAGGCTCGGAAGTCCCAGGCCATCTGGCCCGATTTGGTATCGCTTCTTACTCTTTTATTACTTATTTTTTATTTTTATTACATTTTAATTAGAAATAGTTAATTTATTGCTTTTCATTCAGTGTTTAGTATTTAGGATCTATGTTGGCTTTGCCACTGATCTGAGAATATATATGCTCATTTCTGAGTAGATCTGGCCTCAAATCAGAATTTTATTTTCCCCACTCTCTATTACTTTTTTAAAATCAG